CATATTTTGGTGGGATCCATTCGCTGCTGGCAGAAAGTGTCTATCGACCTTCTTGAACCGTCTTGAACACATCTACAGCTATACAAAGGGATACTCCATACATCCCAGTTTTTAAAGCACGAAAGTTACAAATGTTACGCTCTGTCTTGGTTTCATTTTTTAAAGTAATAAATCATTATAAAATCGCGCATTCAAGTCACTGCCCCCGGCCGCAGTCCAATCCCAACTTAACCATTGCACGTTGGCAATCTGCGCTGGGGGTAGAATTGGGGTCAGCAATGTAGTTGGATCTACACACGGCCAATTAGACAACCCCAAGTTTGATAAGCTGTGCTGCATCATAGCCCTTGTCTGCAGCAGACAGGTCACAGGCAGGTGGTAGAGAGAGAGCGAGCGAGAGTGAGGAAGGGGTGGGAGCAGCTCTGCGGGGGGTGGGTCCGGAGGAGGCATTGTGACTGCGGTGGTGAGTGACGGTCACGAGGTTGTGAGCCAACTCTGTTGTATCATTAATGAACCGGTCGGGAGTCGGCTGCACTAAATGGTTATTCCATTCCGTCTTATATTTCACTGGATTATGAACTAACAGAACTATATAACCATAGAAAGTGCCGATCGACTACTGTCTTTCGACTGTGGGGTATACTGGCCGATGGACGATCGACAAGTTGTGCTCTGCTGCTAGGGTCAAACTTCTGAGATGTAGAAAAACAAAGCGTCACTTTTCCCGCACGATGAATGTTATGAATGTTTTGGGAGAAAACCTGTTTACGCGATACACCAGAGCCTAGGTACTGGTGCAGCGTGTTGGTCGCACAGCCCTTGTATACGCCACACAACAATGACAGCAAACAACAACAACAACGTGTTGCGATCTCAGATTCCGGCTCATCCAAACCACACTAAAGGTGGTTACCAGGATTCCCGGATCGTCGAATCAATGAAATAAAAATCTGCGCGTATATGAGCGAAGGAGGATCTTCCCACCGTTTCTTCGTATTCCTTGTCTCGTGCTGCGCTCACCCCTTCACTGGAAAAACTAATGTTACCATGGTAACGTTTCCTCATGTGACCAAGACCGGTAACGTTTCCTGATGCGACCTACCCCATGCAAAAGGATAGGGCCATCACAAACTGGTTGCATCACCAGACGTTACCTGGTTTGGTCACGTCAAGAAACGTTACCTCGGTAACGTTAGTTTTTCCAGTGTTGCGACCAGTCATTCATTCGAGAGAGAGTGGGGGGGGGGGGGCTTGGCAAAGGCAGCAAACAGTATCACAAGACGGTGTGGCCACAAGCACGAGAATAATGTGCGGTACAAGCTGCCGGTGTTGCTACTGATGCCGCCAGCTCAGCTCAGCCCGCATACAAAAATTCTCCTCCCCCTCTCCCCCTTCTCGCCTTATTCCTTGCACACATACATACATGCTCTGCCTTGTTGGCCAACACAGTCCGCCATTCATAAGCAGCGAGCAAAGGGCTGGCCGCCGAGCCAGTGGTGGCAGGGGCGGCTGGGCCAGGCCGGCACACTCTTGTATCGCCGCTGGAAAGGAAACGAAGCGTCATTTGGCGATGAAACGTTACACGCCGGGGCGGCCTGAGCTGGTGTAAAAAGTACTCTCGTGTGACTGGCCGTGAATGGCGCGGCCTGGCGAGTTGGGGTGCGCGGGGCGGGCCCCTGATCTCGCAGGAGGAGGTCTTCCTCCTTCTCCTCCTGCTCCTTGTCGTCGTCGCTGCAGAAAAGTGATGCTCTGCCGCTGAGGACAGAATGTCGCCCGGCCGCGGGCCGCGGGGGGTCGCAGGGAAAGGAGCTCATCTGAGGAGATAATTTTCCCGCGCAATGCGAGGAGAGCGCTGGCCTCGGTACTTCTCTGTACCGCAACCAACGGAATCAGCACAGTACAGTGCAAGGACATAAGGAGATCGTACTGTAAACCTGCTGCTATTGGTTGACATTTTGGACATCCGTACGATACTTTTCCCGATATCAGATTACTCGTCTTTTATTTTCGATACTTTATCGACAATCGTTTCCTAAATAGACGATGAAAATAGTGGGGCGACGTTGCAAAATTAAGACGGAGTAGGAGGAGTCCGTTTCGGTTTGGGGGTGGGTGGGGCTGCAGCGAGTGGGCCGGGCATGTGTGGTCCTGGAACCACAATGAACGATCGCCACGCTCCGCCACGCCCAGGATAACAGAGACTGACGCCAATTATTACAGCTTTCGCCATAAGGGTCGCCTCGCTGATGTTGATATTGTATTG